AAAAGGTTCATTTTACAGCCGCAGTGCCGATCCACATAGCTAAAATATATTTTTAATTTTAAAAATTTTATATTTAATATTAAAATAATTTAAACATACTAAAAACATTAATTTTAAATAAAAAATCAATATTTTTTAAAATAACTTTTCCGCCTCAAAAACAAACAAGATACAACTTTGACTTTGTTTAGAAACGCAGTTAAAAGTTAAAACCATATTTGTTAAAAAATATATATATTTTAATATCAATTTAATATATTAATTTTAAAAATATTTTTTAAAAAAATAATATTTTAAATTATAATTACTATTATAATTTTAAACATATTTAAATTCGTGTTAATAATATTATAATAGGCATAAAAAAGAAGTGATCTCTTTTTTTTTTTCAATGAATAAAAGGAGTTTATGTGTCATGATAAAAGTGTTTGAGAAAGAGAAATTTATTTAGAAATTAAAAAAATTTAAATTTAAATATAAATTATGAAAAGAATTATAAGTAAATGGATAAATAATATATTATTTTATATAATCCTCCAACAACTCTGTTAAAATATTACTTTTTAGAAATAATAGATTTAAATATAGATTTATTAATAATATGTGTAAAACCTTCATTAGAGTATAAAAAACTCAAAAGACTTTCAAAATCTTAGAATTAGAAAATTTCGAGAATAAATTTAATTGACAAATTTTTTAATCAAAAATATATTTTATATATTTTGGAAAGAATTAGCAACTTTACAAAGTTCAGAATTTTTGCCCTTGTTCATCCAAGATGGATTCACTTTATTATAGGCTACGCAAGTCGCAAATTTTCAAAGTGTCCCTTTTCAACTTACAATCATTATGAGTAAATTATTTTCAAAGTGTCCTTTTTCAACTTTATAGTTTGGTATTATTTACAGTTTCTTGTTTTTGGTTTCAATCTTTTGTTATAATTATTTTGTTTGATTTTAAAAATTTTGACAATTAACTGTCGATTTTTAAAAATAAAATCTCTTGCTTTTGATCTATGAATTTATTTTTGTCTATAATGGATAATGTTTGAGTAGTTTTAAGTTTAATTTTTAAGATTAAGTTGCGTGCTAGAAATTTTATATTTTAGGTTCACTGTGAAAAATATTTTATATTAATATTTTATTCATTTAAATTTATGTATTTTAGTAATGGATACTTTTTAAAATATTTTTATATAAAGATATATTAAAATAATTTTTTATTTTATTTTTATCATGACTATCATAGATCAGGAAATATAAAAAAATAATTTAATTTAAAGCAAAAAAATTAATTTTTTTTAAAACAGTTTTAAAATTAAAAAAAAAACAAATAGCCTCAATATTGTAACAAAACCTTTTTACGGTTGATAAAAGAGGCTAAGAGAATGAAAATGTATGGTTATTGACATGTTTGGTATTATAATAATTTTTATTTTTAAAAATATTTTTTAAAATAATATTATTTTATGTTTTTTTATAAGCTTGATATGTTGAAATCAAACTAATAAACACGTACGAAATCATGAAAAAAACTTCAATGTCAATTTAAGTAAAAAAAAAACTTAAAACATTGAATTAAGGATTTGGAATTGCTATTGGCACAGCTTTTTCCTTTTTTTGAAATTAAAAGATGAAACTAGCCTCTCCCTTTTCTTTTAAATTTCCAGAACATAAATACATCTCCAGCTTCGAGTTCAAAGATTTATTTTCTCTTCTTTTGTCTTGGAATCGTATGGTGTGAAATTGGGATTTTAAAATTTAATTAGCTTCAAAATATAAAGAGATTTAACATTTTGAATTCTTTGCTTATATGATCATGATCATATTAGATAAAAAAATATTATAAAGAGATCACTAAATTTTTATAATTTTTATTTATATATTTTTTTATTAATACCAATATTCAGACTAGCTTATATGATTGATTCTATAAATTTTTAATAATCAAATCATATTACCAATCATCTATAACATGGGAGCAAACCCCCCACTTGTTCATGAATTTGAGCTGCCTTGAAAAGGAGATGGTGGATGGGAGATAATACCATTGATTGCAGCCTTGATTCAACGCATCTCTCCTCAGAAAAATAAAATCATAAAGGAAATAAATCAAGAGGACATAATGAATTTATTAAATAGTAACATAAAAAAAAAAAAAAGAGAGAGTCAGATTTGTAGCCAGATAGATTGTTCCATCAGCACTTTCCTTAAAGATTAAAAAAAAAAAATATTGACTGAATAATGTTTTTAATTAATTAATCCATAAATTGTCTCAGTAATTTAATAATCTAAATCTCTTTTAAGCTCGTTTATTGATTCAATTTAATAAAAGTAATTGTTGTAAAAAAAAATTAAATATTTTTTATTTAGAAATATATTAAAATAATATATTTTTATTTTTAATATTAATACATTAAAAAAATTAAAAATATAAAAAATATTAATTTATAACTAAAAAAATTCAGAACATGACAAACACTACCTAACTGAGCTAGAAATTGCTTTTGTTTTTAACATTAATGATGAGGGGCACTATTGGTAGGTGAGATATTAAAAAAGCTAAGTTGGTTAACACCTAATTCTGTTTTAAGAATAAGTTAATATATAATTAAGGAGGAGTTAATCAAGAGATTAATTGTGCCGTTGAAGTGAAGGCAAGAGAGGATATCTTGGGAATCGAGCCTGACAGGGAAGTCTGCCATGTCATCCCCTTCGGGGCGTAGCTGGCAGTACTTCTTTTGCAGGGCCATCGAACACCTTATTTTATTTCCCTCCATGTTCCTTTTATTTACATACTTGCCACTCTTTTTTTTTTCATCCTTGTTTTTATTCCAGACTTTTTCAATAATAAAAATAAAATACAGCATGGTACTGTAGGTTCGAAGGGTTCAACTCATTTCATTATTATTTTAAATTTTTTTTATTGAAACCGTGTTCAATAATTATAATTGTTGAATTAAATTATTATTTTTTATTTAATCTAGATTGGGATTTATATCTTGGATTAACTTGCATGGTTAGATTAGATTTAATAACTAGAATATTATGATTTACAACTCATATAATTAACGTTCAAAATCTAAATTATTATAGAAAAAAAGAAAATAGCATAGATTATTCTAGAAAAGAGAAAAAATCCACACTTATTCTTGACTGTTTTTTTTTTGAAGGAACAATAAGTTTTTTCTTCGAAACGGAAGATTTAACTATTTATAAATTTGTGATTTCTAAAATATAAACTTTCTCAATAAATATTTTTTATTATATATATATAAAATAAAAATTATGTGAGAAAATTTGCAATGCATTTTTTTTCCCGATGATTGTAAGTTGAATCTACAGTTTTTATTTATATGGAAAATTTCCCCTTATTTATCACCTTACGTATATAAAAAACATATAAAGATATAAAGAGTTTATTGGATAAAAAAATAAGTAATAAGTTACATTTTTTAAGTAAGAAATTACTCCTAGATAAAATTGAATTAGCATCTCGCAGAACATTTCCATTAGAAATGACAATAGATCCTACAAACACACACATGTGTGTGCAAAACACTAAAAAATACAGAGAAAATATTGTTCCTCACGCCACTGTTTATACAAAAATAAATCATTGTAAACTGTTACAGTAATTTTTTTTCTTCTAATTCTTTGTTTTTCAATCACATTTTTATGGAGTTAATGGTCAATTAAAACACATTTATTGACGAAGGATAAATATAATTTTTCAAGTCATTCTTCACATAAAAAATAAATTATTGTGAATTCTTACAATTATTTTTTTATTCCATTTTTTTTCAATTATGGCTTTATAGAGCCGAGTTAATGGTCAATTAAAATATATTTATTAATGAATGACAAGATTCAAACAAAAAGGACTAAAATAAAAACAACTACAAAAAGGGGTGGTTGTTTTAAACTTGGGACAAAACATTTATTTTGTTCTTAAAACTATTCAAATTATAAAATCTTAGCCTCTTGAAATTCATGCAATTCAATTTTAGCTTGAACTTTAATCTTTTTATTTTTTAGGCCTCAGTCTGAGAAATAAGAGAGAAAACTGTTAAATCCCAATGATAAAGAAAATATTTAATTAAGTCGACACCGATTCCAATCATAAAAAATAATAAGTTTGATGTCCATGAATTCCTTTTAATGATAAAATTTTAACCTATGTATTGCTTTTTTCTTAACTTGACTGAAATAGTAGTTTTCAATAAGGAATGAATTTTGATTTTAGGGATGTCTGTGAGCTTTCAAGCCAATTTTCAAGTTGTTGAAGGCCATGATTTTTAATATGTTTAGAGTTTTCTAATGTGTTTAGAGTGTGTTTGTTTTGGTCAAAACTTGATTGATAATGATTTTTTTTTTGAAGACATTATAACTATGATTTTTTAGTGATTAAAAGTCATTAGATTTTAAATAGAATAAATGACGTATTGTCTATTATTTAAAAAACAATTATGAAAGGATGATAAATCATTTGTCTCATAAAAAAATAGAAACAAATTAAAAATATCCAAATACATGAGCTAGTGCACTTAGGCCCTTTTCCCTTCTTTTTAATTATATATAGTTTTTTATTGGTTTTTTTTTTCAATTTGATCCATCACATTTGGATATTTATTGATTTTTCTTGTTTTATAGTTTTTGGATGAAAGTTTAATATTTTATTGATTATTGATTGGGTAATGTAATTTATTTTGGTTTGATATTTTTTTTACATGATCTCAAACAGGTGCCTTAATATTTGATTAATTTTTAATTTTACATGTGTTTATTTTAGATAAAAAATTATACATAAAAAACTTATTAAACTTAATTGAATCCATGATCTGGATTATAAATTTAATTAGTTATGAATTTGATTAGTTAACATGAAGCAAACTTTATATTTTTTTTAGGTTGAATAAATAATTCTTGATTTATTAATTAAATACATTTATAAACTTTTCAATTTACAATTAAATTTTTTATGTAAAAAAATATAAAAAATATTTTCATACCGGGAAAAAAAACACCCATTAAAATATGAAATTATAAATATTAAACATATATCAATATTAAGATGTGTTTATATTATACTATATTAAATAAAATATAAATATTTTACACATCTGTATAATACAAATATATACATCTCAGCTTAAATTGATTTCTTATTCCACACACACACACACACACATATTCAAATGTTTGAAGAAAGGTGTAGCTAGAAAGGAGTGAGTGTCAAAAGCGAAGAAGAAAAAGCCAAAACATGGAGATGCGGGGTATCGATCCCCGTACCTCTCGCATGCTAAGCGAGCGCTCTACCATCTGAGCTACATCCCCGTTATGGAGACGACATTCTTTTATTTTAGTTAAACAAAACATATTACAAATTTAAATGGCAATCGGCATTTATTGTCTATTAGCTTGACGACCTCCAAATCTTGCTTAATGCAAGTTTGGTAAATGAAAAATAATTTATTCAAATTTTGCCATTACAATCCTAGTTGGGAAAGATTGATTCAATATTCAATTTTTGTCTATAGAAGTAAGCTGCGATGAGTGCGTGAGAGAGAAATTTATTTGTGCATCATGGGGATTTATTCTTTCTAAAACAATTTAGTGCTTCAATGAAAGATGAAACATCCAATTAAAGAATTTAATAAAATAAAGTAAATAAAAAAATAAAAAAAATTATTCAGAGTATAAATAAATAACATTAAAATGTAATTTTTCTATCATTATTTATCAATACTTTGAAAATAGATTGGATAACGCGTGGATTGAGGACTTAATTGATATAAAATTTAAACCAGTCTAAATTGAAACGAAAATATATAAAAAAATAACTTAATTGATTTTTTTTAAAATGTTTTCTATTAAAATAAAATTAAAAATAACGCCTGATAGTGGGGGTATAAATCATTTTCTTCGAATGGATTAAAGCGACTATGCATTAGATCGGGTTAAATGGCTAGCCGTATCAAATGCACGTGGCAGGAAGGACACCTTGATTGCTTAATTGTTTTCTACTTTTTTCAGGGAGGAAGCTGCAATATAAATCAAAATACAAGAGCAAGATCGAATGTTTCAGTTAAAAAGGCCACTCTTTTCTCCTAATGGTTGAAGGGGGAGGGTGGTTTCCATTCCGTTGTCTGGGACATCGGAGCCTGAGCTCTTTAGGACTCGAAGCTTAAAAAATGGCGACGCTAGTTGTTTCTGATGATATATTAAGGGTTTTTGAATCTGGGTCTCCCTTGGTTTCCACAATGGTTTAAGCTTCTCCATTTTTTACAGGTAAAGAAAAGTTGCTCTCTTGGCTTTCTTTCTATTTTTTTTGTTGTTGTCAAAGATATCTTGTTGCCTGAAATTAATACTTTTACATATGCTTCTGTTATAGTTAATGGTTCTCAAATGTGTTTTTGATAAATTGTCCTGTTAAAAATCACTTTCTTTTCTTGCTTTGCTTTGCTTTGCTTTGATCACTAAGTTAATAACTAACAGGCAATTTGATTTTTTTAACCGGTTCTTGACATTAATGGTTGGTAGCTAAAATGTATTTTTGATAGAAGGTAGAAAGGTGGGTGTTTTTTGGGTCATTGAAATTTTATATGATATGATCAGCGGACTTCGCTATTATAATGAATGTTAATTGTTTGTGGAGCAAATCTCCAATCAATTCGACTTGTGCACTAATGAAACTATAGAAGTTTCCTCAAGTTCTTTGGCAATAAGCTACTTTTTATAAGGGTATCGAAATTCAGGGTTTAGGTTATAGAATGTCTGACTTTAAACATCATTTGTAAGTGTTGATAGTGCTTTTCTAGAGGTGTTTTATTAAGTGGTATTTGATTTTGGATTGTGAGGGTTCGCCTACAATTTTCTTAGCCTGTGTTTGAGTCCTAGTTTTGTGTTTCCACTTTCCGGTATTATTTGTCCTATTGCTTCAAAATCTTATAATATGGAGAAATTAATCGACGTAAAAGTTCTCTCGTCTATGCATGTAGTGAAACTTTAAAGCTTTTTCATTTTATAATTCAAAGAAATATTGATTGAAGAATACAGAGGAGATTCAGGAGCTGAATTTGCATATCCTCCTAGCATATACCTCAGGTTTCATTAGTTCGATATAGTACTCAAAGTCGATGGTCTAGAAAAAGAAAAAGGAAAAAAAAAAGAAAGAAAGAAAGAAAGAAAGAAAAAGAGATTCGTTAGACCTTAAAAGTTTATGCATATATATATATATACACACATACATACACACTCATTTTCCTTTTATGATGTGAGAATATCTTGAGGAAGTGTAAGATTCAAGTGGTCTAATTAGTGTACTGAACTAGTTTACCAGGTCTTGATAACTTTGTGATTTCAAGTGCATACAATCTATATGTTGTAAATGAAATATGCTTAAGTATTTTTACTAAGATATTCTTGAGAGTAATGCATCTTTCAGGAATTTTATAATTTGCTTCCATGCATTGCAAGTTATTCCAAATTTAGATACTTGGTTGGACATTGGTTAGCACTTCTGAGCATTTCTATATATGATTTCTCCACCGAGTTTTTATTTTTCTAAAATTTTAGTAATTATATCTGCCGGTTCTTTTATGAAATGTGCATTGTTTCTAGCACTCTAGTTAGTCTTTTATTTTTTACTTTAAATTGCGTTACGCACAAAAAAATATCCTTTCAAGTGGCCCTTCTTCTACCTAGTCTCTGCACCCAATCTATCGAAGCATGTTCTGTTGTGTATATTCTAAATTTAGAACAGCTGCATTAATTTTGGGGTTGGTGTAATTAATTCGTGCATATCTGCATTTTCTTACACCCAAAGAAAAATGCTTGCGATAAAGACGGTTATTTGAACATTTGTCACATTTCCATTACTCATATCCTCCTTTTGTAATCCCAGAGAGATTTAGTTCATTCCACCTTCTCCTTTTATATATCTCATAGTAGTTTGGGATAAATTATTTTCCCTCTTCAGTTTCTTCTCTAATTATCCCATCCATGGGTCGGAACAAGCTTCCGTTGAAGAAAATTGATAATCCCTCCCGTCGTAAATTAACATACTCAAAACGTAGAGATGGGATTATCAAGAAAGCCACTGAATTGTCTGTGCTATGTGATACAGATGTTGGTCTTTTGATGTTTTCTCCTAATGGTAGATTGACTACCTTTTCCAGCAATGGAAGGTTGATATAGAACTATTTAGTTCAGAACAATATAGATTCATGTTTTCTGTTTATTCTACTGTGATTTTCCTATGTAAATAATTTTGACAGTCTTTAAATGATTTTGTAGGATTGAAGACATCTTTCTTCGCTATTTTGACCAGTCCAATGTACTAGAAGGGCGGTGTGTCTGTTATTCTCTTCATCTTGATTCTTTGATTTATAGCCTGTTTGTTTTTTGCGTTTCAAAAGCTCTTTTGAAAAAAAATGATTTATTTTCTTTACTTCAAATTAATATTTTTTTGTTGTTTCCATATCTTTTTAACGTACTGATGTCATAAATAAATTTTTAAAAATAAAAAATATTATTTTGATGTATTTTCAAATGGAAAGCACTTTGAAAAGAAATTGCTATCATAATACCAAACAGGCTTTTAGATTTACACATATGCCTAGTTGTTTTTGGATAATGTGGATATCTTTGTTAGATTTTTACTGGGAAATTTTCAATGTCTTTTTATTAATTGTTTGTTTTATTCACAATATTTATTTTGATGTGCAGACCAGTTGAACAGGAGGGGGTAAGATCTCTCTCCCTTTTTTAGTATACTTTCTTATGTGTGTGCCTCTGTCCGTGTATACATATAAATTGTGCCTGTGTTTGGGATCCTTTTTTTTTTTTTTTGTGAAGATGATGTGTTTGAGATCTTGATTTTCCATTATTTGTTCTTTCAGTATTTGTACCAAAATCTCAAGCGCTTGAAATATGAAAGAGAAATGCTGGAAAAGATTGCAAAGTTTGATTCTCTCTCTTTCTCTCTTTCAACAAACAAACACACACACACACACACTCATGGACCATATACACAGAAACCTAAGAGTTAATTTTGTGAGAACTTTCTCTGATTAGAATTCTTTCTTTTGTCATATGGATGTTCCACTACCTTGTGCATGGAAAGAAAACTCAGGATAGAGGTAACTTTTTGAAACACATTTTTCTAGATTGTTTTCTTACAAACTCTACTTGAAACATGATGAAATTATTTTATTTTTTGAACTGTTTATTTATGGCTTAATAGGCGCTTCAGGAGAAACTCCATGAAATCAGCCAGAAACTACAAGAGAGACAAGAAAAGATGAGGCCAGTATTCTTTTTTTTTTTAATTGTTTTTGCATGGTTAACCAAGCCTGTAATTTAAATCTTCTATTCATCCCATTTTTTTATTTTTATATATGAACAAGTAAATGATAACTCAATAACATAAATCTTTTTTTTCATTGATAATAAACATTGCTGTATTCTTCTTTATTATATAAAAAACAGGTCTTACAATCCAGATGTGGTGAATATCAACTCAGTTCATGATACCAATGAGCACCGACAATTTCTTAATGATGCAATTCGAAATATGGAAAAGCTAAAAGTGGGTACACGTTTCCCCTGTCAATTATGTAGTCCCATTTCAACTTTATTAAAACTAACAATTTCCTTACCCTTCTTCTTAGATGGAGATTTTACATGAACCTTTAGACCTTCAGATGTCTGGGTGTTTTCAGGTAATTTGAGAGGGAGAACGGCAGGGGCGGTAGAAATGGGGAGCACAAACTGGAAAATGCTCACAAAAGCTTCTGCATTGTTCATCTTGCATTACTTTTGATGTTTATCTAATCTGTGCTGTTTCATTCTGTATTTTTGTTCCTAGGTGCCTCCTGCTGCTACCAGGGATGCTCATTTGACTGCTGACGAGCTTGTGGATGCCAATGGAAACTGGTAATTTGTGGTCGTAATTTCTTAACTTAATCAAAATCTGGTAGCTTTGGGCATCTGACAAGCACATTTGAGCATTGGGTCATGCATGTTAACTCCTCCTTTGTAAACCATATCAAGAACGAGTTAAAAGAAAATAGTGCACCCAGATTATCATTTGTAAATTAATTTCTTGCAATTTTGTTTCATGTAGGAATCCACCGCAGGATGACCATCAACCTAAAGAGGCACACTTGCCTGTTGGTCCACACCTGAGCCTCGAGTACCTTAGAACTCAAAAGCACTGGAACCTTCAAAGTCGTGGGCAGGGCAATGTCTGAGATTAGACACCAAGTGAGGAGAGTTTTATTGTTAGGGTCCTTCATCCAAGTTTTATTATGGCTTATATTAATAAGATCATCAGCTTCTGTAGTTTACCATGATATGGGTTTTAGCAGAAGCTGTCGCATGCGTGTTTTCCTTAAGAACTTCGGATTCTACTCTTGTTTGAAGTTTGGAACTTGAATAATGTTGGATGTTGCAATTTACATGGATTTGTTGTTTCTTTATGCATGAGTTTGAGCTTTGTGATAAGCATGTCATTTTCATTGAAGATGTCAGCAGGTTACATGGAACATGTTGTCAAGATTTATGGCAATCTTACTGAAAGATTCTTCCCAAAAATCTCAACCATTGGATTAAATAGATTAGTGGGAAGAATTACTGGTAAAATTAGCATCACTTTGTTGATTCCTTAACATTAGCATCTATCTCTATGTCACAATCAGGATAGATTCTTTTATTAATGACCTATTAAGAAAGATAGTTACAAGGTTTGGGAAGTTCTTCCAGGGTAACACGATTTTTAATTTTATTGTTATCAGTTACAGACTAGAGGTTAAGGGAATTATATAGAGAACATTGCAGACTTTTTGCCTTTCCTAAAACCCTATATCTTTCAAACAAACTTTGCTCCTGAGATTGACCTCTAACATCATGCTTTAAGTCACATTTTGCTGCAAGATTTTATAATTTGTTGGGGTAGCAGAGAATAGGTCTGCACATCAGGATACTTCCATAGCAAGCGCAAGTCATCTGTGTTTGTTTCCTTTTCCTTTTTCTAGTCAATTTCAATTTACCCCTTAAGGTTTAGGGTAAATTTGGTTTCACCTCCTGATGTTTCAATTGTATCAATTCCCCCCTAAAGTCTCAATATCGAAGCAGCAAACAATTTTTTTTTATTTTTTTTGGAAATTATAAAAAATAATAGAATATATATCAAACTGCAATTATATATAAAAAAACACAGAGTTCAATTTTGTATCTTATATTTCTAAACATATATGATGATGTATGTGGCCTCGTTTGAAGGTAAAAAAGTGATCTCATCAAAGCATTTTAAGAGAGTTCTGTTTTGATTAAATTTCAAAAGTTTATGGACTAAAGAGACCTTTTCTATGAGTTTAGGTAGCATGGAAAGAAACAATGGCACACGATTGAAACTTAAAGAAAGTATTTACATAATTGAAACATGAGGGGGGAAATTGGATTTGCTTCAAACTTGAAGGGGGCAATTGACCATTTTGTTTTCTCTTTTCTTTTTTCCGGGAGAATCTGTGTTGTAGTTGAATCTATCTACTGCTGTTGTTTCTATTTTTTATTTATAACAATGCCTCTGTTTTTGCTATTAATTCCCATGATTTACTAAACTTTCCATAACCCAAATCATATCATGCCTAATACTTAATTATTTTCCATTGATGGCACAATCTAAATCTAAAAAATATCTTGAATATTTTGTCACCCCCCGGTCGTATCAATTATTTTTATCATCAAAAAAATGTTCTAAGCATTCTTATTTTTTTTTTAAGTAAATGGGAGTTCGGCTTGATTTAATTAAATATATTTAATAAATTTAAAGATAATTTGAATAACTAATGAAAATATAACTTGATTAAAAAAACTTTAAGATGATATGTTTTTTTTTTTAAATTAAGATGATAATATATTAGATTGGCTCGATTAATATAAGTTAACTTAACAAATTTACGAACTAGGTCATGAAATTATAATAACTTTATATAAAACAAATTAAAACAAATTATTAAACTTGATTTTTAATTAATTTAATGATAAAAAAAGAAATTGAGAAAAAATTAATTAAAAAAGATAAAAAAAAAAGCTCAAGTCAACTCAAATTAATCTGTAAAATCTATAACTTGAGTTATAAGATCAAAATAACTCCATAAAAAGCAAATTAAAATAAATTATAAAAATCAATTTTTAATCAATTTAATATTAAAAAATTAATTAAAAAAAATAAAAAAATAAAATAATCCAAATTAACCCACCAAATTCATAATTCAAATAATAAAATTAAAATAATCTCATAAAAAAATCAAAAACACCATTGCTTGTCATTTTATTTTTTTAACAATAACAATATAACTTACCGAGTTCATACAGCTAATGAAAATCTTTTGTTCTTAATGAGGAAATAAACAACTTTTGGACTATTTGTGTTTGTTTGCTGGTTTTAAACTAGGAAATAAGCAATTGTTTTAAAATAATTTTTTTTATATTTTTTAAATTAAAAATACTCGAAACTTTCCCTCGAGTCCAACTATCTTCTTCTTCTTCTTCTTCTTTTTTCCTGTCATAAAACACTAATCGTACGCTATTTGTATCTTGAAAGATTTGATTACTCATTGTGCCTGCTAATTACACAAATGGGGCAAATCCTCTGCTTTAAAGAGGAGATCCCAAAATGCAAATACTTTCCTCCTTGAATCGTGGAATTATCAAATCAAATGAGCTTAGAATATGAGATTCAGAATCAAATTAAAAACTAAAACTAAAATCTCTGCTATAAAAGGGATGAACTTACAGAATTTTGCCAATAAAGAATAATCCCAAGTCTTATTCTTAAAAACCATAGTGATCTCCTTAAAACTAAATAATAAATTATGGATAATCGTCAATCTACTAAAAAAAAAAACCCCAAAAAAAGGTGTCCCACATTGTTCTCCTCACGTCCCTCTACGCGTCAACTCTTCCTTCCCTCCCCCGAAAAACATGAAACATTCGAATGAAGTAGATACTTGAGAAAATAATCAACAAAAGCCTATTCTATAATCTTTCATGTTTTTTTCCCCCCTTCTTTTTACAATTTCTTAGGATCCAAAACCATTAATTCCATCTTCCACATCCATTTTTGTTACCTTCATGTTATTGTGGCTCTTCAGTTGCTTTTAACACGACATTTGCCTACCTTCGACGTCAAGTTTTGACACAAACGTTGCTGCTGCTGCTGCTCTAATCTGATTTGAGAAATTAAGATTGATAAACACCATATAGTTACTGGGATATTCTCGAAGTTGATGCAGGAAAGATTTTTTGGGAGATAAAAAGGATACAGCAATCTGCTTTCCGCATGGTGGCATATATGCTATATATAGAAGAACAACATCTCATGTTTTCTGCCTTTGGGTTGCATAAGTATCCGATGTAATGAAAAGGCTAATATGTGAATGGAGTGTTGATTTGAGAGGAAATGGAATTGAGAAGACTGAGAGCAGGTTATGCAATTGTTTATGTCATTCTTCTTTGTACATTGGCAATGGGGAGTATAGAGGGCAAAAGGAGAGCAGATATGCTTTTTGGCAATTGTGATCCTGAGCTAAAGGAAAAAATGGTATGTTGGCCTTTTTTTTGTTTCTTTTTTGTGTCTGAAAAATGCTTGTTTTTCTTCCTTTTCTGAGTCGTTCAATGATTAATGATGGTAGACGGAAAATTATATGGCTTCAAAATTCAGACTCTTCTGTAGCATGTCGATTTTAGGTGGTATGGCTTGCAAATTTATGTTTTGGTTCCAAGGTTCAGAAGCAGATTGTTGCAAATGTGCTTGTGGTAGCAGGAGATAAAGTGTGATTAGGAAGAGGTGAAACTGTGGATTGAACATAGAATATTTGGTATTATTGTTTTGACATAGGATTGAGTTCTTCTCTCTGGTTTTTAATGAAATATTATATTTTCAGGAAGAACAAGCATGGATTCATTGCTGGAAGGAATTGGTAGATAGGAATGGCTCTTTCGAAGATTTCGATTTAGATATGCTGCAGGAAGCTAATTTTGAGTTGAAATCAAGATTGCTCACAAAAGAAAACATCGATAAATCCTTAAGTGTTCTATCACCGAAAATGAAACAAGAACTTCTGGATTATTGTTTAAGAGAGAAAAATCTTCACTTTTCTTACCATGGAGATAGTTCTAGACATTCTTTCATCGAGTGTGTTAAGTTTCTTTTACATTTGTGTAATAGTCACAGAGGATATCTAGCTAGCAATACTCATCGACAGACAAAACCAAGCCTTACTCCATCAGCGCCTGCAGCAGCATCCCCAGGTTATGGTTCAGCACCATTCAATCTAGCAGCTGTCAGCTCTTCATCTCCAAGGAGATTGACCCTTTCGTTCTTTGAAAAGAAATTGTATCGCCTACAAGATATGAGTGACTCACCTCCTCCTCCATCACCAGGAAAACATTCTCCACCCAGTTCACATTTTCATAAACAAGTTCCTCCACCACCAGTGCATAAGGGCGTTGATCAGAATCTTATTGTTGCTGTTGCTGCGACTGCAGCAGGAACATTTTGTTTCGTTGCGACACTCTTCATTTGCTGGTGCTGTTGTAAGGAACATTTTGTTTCGTTGCGACGCTCTTCATTTGCTGGTGCTGTTGTAGGGGTAGTAGCAACAAAATTGGCCCTGGAGGTGGAAAAAGAGATGAGAGGCCTCTTCTGCACTTCAATCTGTCTAATAGTAATGCATTTTCAGGACCCCGGCTTGTCATTGATTCATTGTAATAGTTATTTTCTGAAGAATGTACTAATTATGAGTCAACTTTATCTTCTCTTTTCAGCTACTTCTCAAAGTTCTTTTAGCTTAGGAAATTCCAGTTCCAAAGAGCACAGTTCTAATAGTGGAAACACTACGTTCCAAAGCAATTTGTCAACGAAATATGGAAATCATGATTCCTCTCTGGCAGACGCACCATCAGTAGAAGCTCATGCAGGAGAAGCACTCCCTCCTCTAAAACCTCCTCCTGGAAGAACTCCTGCTCCTCCACCTCCTAGACCGCCGCCGCCACCACCACCTCCGGTTGCTGCTCCTCGTCCCCCGGTGCCTCCAAAAGTTGGTCGTGCTCCACCAGTTCCTCCTTCTAAAGGCAAGTTGAAGCCTTCCCCCCTTGGACCACATCGCGAGAATCCCAGCGAGGGAGATGATCTTGATAGTGAAGAAGCTCCAAAAGCCAAGCTAAAACCATTCTTTTGGGATAAGGTTGTGGCCAACCCTGATCACTCAATGGTTTGGGATGAGATCAGTTCCGGTTCATTCCAGTAAGCTACAAATCTCACTTGACCTCAATTTTAGTTCTGCAAGCTATTTTCTTCTGTTGAATCATCCATTAAACATTCCCACCTTACAGGTTCAGTGAGGAGATGATAGAGTCATTATTCGGTTATAATTCTGTGGATAACAATAAAAATGATCGCAAGAGAGATCCATCTGAACCTTCAATCCAGTATATTCAGATCATCAATCCAAGGAAAGCACAAAATCTATCCATTCTTCTACGAGCACTGAATGTGACTACCGAAGAAGTCCTTAATGCTTTGCAAGAAGGTGATCTCCATTTCCTTGTGGTCTCTAACAATGAGTTTCATCAGACAATTTCTTCTTTATGGTTACTATTTTTGTCACTTGTAAAGGAGTTATATACATAACTTTGAAAACCACCCAGCATTGGAATTTCATTAAGCAAAATATGATAAGATTTATTTGGCTAATTCAAATAAAAAATGTAAAGATAATAGGAAAATAAATGAGGGTTTAAATGATCAGCTGTTAATACACTTGTGTTTCAGCACAAGGGACCTTATGCTTAATTGTTTACCAATGATCAGGTAATGAGCTACCAGTGGAGCTCCTTCAAACATTGCTGAAGATGGCACCGACATCAGAAGAGGAGTTGAAGCTTAGGTTATATGCTGATGACATCTCTCAGCTAGGTCCTGCAGAGCGTTTCCTCAAAGTCTTGGTAGAAATACCATTTGCTTTCAGACGAATAGAGGCATTAATATTCATGAGTGCTCTACGGGAAGAAGTTTCAGGCCTTAAAGAGTCCTTTGCAACTCTTGAGGTGAGAGATCAGATGTACAGATTTTCATAATGCACATAACATGTTTCATAGAGTTCTGATAGATTATCCATCTGTTTGTAAAGACATGCATGGTCGGTTGAGACAAGGTTCACTTGTTCTTCTGTTGTCCTAATTAATCCGAGAGTATATTAGTTTTTTTCTGGGATCCTCTGTAAGTCTAATTAAGATTACTCCTACACAAATGACAGGTGGCTTGCAACAAACTCAGAAACAGCAGGCTATTTCTGAAACTCCTAGAGGCAGTTCTTAAAACTGGTAACCGAATGAATGATGGTACATACCGCGGTGGAGCACAGGCATTCAAACTTGACACGCTCTTGAAACTTTCTGATGTCAAGGGAATAGATGGAAAAACTACACTCTTACACTTTGTCGTTCAGGAGATCATTCGCTCTGAAGGCATTCGTGCTGTGCGCACAGCAAGACCCAGCCTGAGCTTCTCAAGTGTGAAGTCAGATGAATATATTGACAATGCTAACCCAGCATCAGCAGAGCACTACCGAAACCTTGGTCTTCAAGTGGTATCAGGTTTAAGCACTGAACTTGAAGATGTAAGAAAGGCAGCGATCATAGACGCTAATGTTCTAACATCTACAGTGTCGAAACTTAACCAATCATTAACAAAAACTAAGGCTTTCCTAGACTCTGACTTGAAGAGTTTGGGAGAAGACGGTGAATTCTATCATGCATTGGCTAGCTTTTTGGAGCGTGCAGAGTCTGAAATGTCAAGCATGTCAGAAGAAGAAAGGAGGATAACGGCTCTGGTGAAGAGCACAGCAGACTATTTTCATGGGAATGCAGGAATGGATGAAGGTTTGCGTTTGTTTACAATTGTACGAGATTTCTTGATAATGATAGATAAGACATGTAAAGAGGTGAGAGATGACAGAGCAAAGAGGCCAATTACGACAACCAAAAAAGAGGTTCGGGAAGTGAAAGCAACAAACAGCCAGAAACCTGAAAATGCAATTCAGAAACTGTTTCCAGCAATTGTCGGAAGGCGAGCTGATGATTCCAGTTCAGATGATGAGAGCCCATCTCCTTAGCCTTACAAGCTTCTATTGTCTCTAGAACTTATTCAGGTGGCTTGGAATCTTCGAAGGCACGACAGCCTGGATTAGGCATAATTCGCAGAAATCTTCCCGACCTCTGTCTAGTCTGCAGGAGCACAAGACCTTGATTTTCCTCTTCAAATGTTTTCTGAGAGACTGTTATAACCTGATGAAAGTTTTTGATCATAGAGATAGAAAGAGGATTGATTCCGAATTTGTCTCGGAAGGCACAACGTTTCTCTTGTACAGCTGATGCAGTATTACTGTAGTTAATGACTTGTTTCTGTGAATTCTATGCATTCAATCCATAGTTTTTCATGATTGTGTCTCCTACCAGGCTGCAATTCTTGATTAATGGGAAATTTTTCTCTTATAGCACACAGAGTTATGCCACTGAACAGACCTGGAGACAATCTTCCAATCTTCGAATGGGGTAAATATTCTTCACCACATTATCCACTTCTTCCATTGAAATTCAAAGAAACTGAAAAGGTTGCAGAATCTCCGAAGCCTATCTTCTTGTGCAATCGACAGGTATGAAGTTCACTTTTTTACGCAGAACTTAGAGAAGGTTATTTGGCATACCGTTAGAAACAGAACAGACAAAGGCAATAGCATACCATTAGTCCATTACAGGTTATTTGGCAATAAATAGAGTTAAAATGCTTTTAACCAGTCAAGGAGATTGAACCAGGCGTGGAGTAGAATTGCCTTAAACCAGGCAAGAAATAAATGTAGTTGACTTCGGCTTTCGGATGTCCACAATAATTCGGCCGGTCCATCTTTTGGAAGCCCAAACTTCACTTTCACAGCATATTTACAGGCTAGTGTTTGGAATTCGGCAGCCCTTGTTTTTTTTTTTTTTTAATGTTTTAAAAATATTTAAAAATTTAAATATTTTTTATTAATTTTAAATTAATATATTTTTAGTATTTTTAAATTATTTTGATATTCTTATATAAAAATAATTTTTTTTTAAAAAAAAATTATTAACATATTTAAATATAAAAAACTATTTGAAAAATAATCATAACTACACTTTAAAACAAACTTGAAATTTAAATAGAATTTAAAATTATTTTTTTTATTTAATTTTTAATTTTTTGATAATAACCTATTAAAATAATTAAAAATTTAATTTGAAGATTAAAAAAAAAATATTCATCCTATCCAAAAAAATTAAAATTTTTAATTTAAATAAAAAAAAAACATATTTTTATATTTTGATAGATACAATAAGTTTATTTAAAAAAATTTAGGCTTAAAGTTTAACCCAAGCTTGATTTTAAGTTAAATTATATAATATATTAACCCATTCTAAAGTTTAATAAATTGAATTATCTGTTAAAATTAAATCTAAAACCACCAACATTGAAATAAAAACCCACTTAATTTTAATAAAAAAGGTCTTTTTTTTTTGTTTTTAAATTATTCACTGAGTCCCAGAACATGTTTCACTATCAGTTTCAATGAAAATTTTGAGATTAAATCTTTATTTTGTATTTTTTTTCAAATGAAAACGTGATCATTTAATTTAATTATCATTCAATCATTTAAATATCAAAAACATTTTAAAGTTGAACAACACATATTATTCTCGAACATTTAATTCTATAATCATTAAAATAAAATACAATTTAACTTTTTGTAACAAAAAGAACAAAAATAAGAGAAATAATTTTAAGAAATGATGACCTAAATCCCCCATAAACCCTAAAAACCAACGCTACTCATAGTCTATATAAATTAGACACAACCTCCCTCCCACGGCAGTCACTGTCTATATTACTTAAAATAAAAATCCTCATGGCTCGAAGACGCCCCTTTGAAGTCGCCCCACCTGCCGTTTCGTCTTCCGAGGAAGAAGAAGAAACCGATGACGAAGAAGAAACTCCAAAAGGCACCGTCCAAGCCCAGCAAGACAGCACTGGTGAGAAACAAAACGATAACGAAAATGGCAGTGAAGACGACAACGACGACGACGACGACAATGATGATGAAGAGGAGAAAGAGAAACCCAATCTGCTGCCCTCCAAACCTTCGAAACCCGACTCGGAGTCCGCCTCAGAAACTGACTCGGAAGACACCGAGTCAACTCAGCCACCGTCACCTTCTCTTTCTGGCTTTACAATCAAGCCCATTTCGCCAAAGCGCAAACCCGGCCCAAAACTCGAGCGGCCCAAGAAGGAGAATGATGGAGAGGACAAGAAAACTAAGAGGGGAGCTGGAGCGGGGGGTGGGGGGCCTCAACGTTTATGGAGCGATGAAGATGAGATTGTGATGTTAAATGGCATGGTTGAGTACCAGATTGAGAAAGGGAAAAACCCTTTTGCGGATAATGGTGATTTCCATGGATTTGTGAAGAAATCGCTCAATGTTGATGCTACTAATAATCAGTTTTTGGATAAAATCAGGAGGTTGAAGAAGAAGTATTTTACTGATGTGGAGAAGAATGAGAAAGAGATAGATGAGATTTTTAGTAAACCGCATGATTTGGAGTGTGTGGAGCTTGCAAAGAAAATATGGGGTGCTGGTGGTATTGAGATGGGAAAAAAGGGCAACTTTAATAAGAAGAGTGGAAAAAATGTTAGCAGTGGTGGTGAAGGAGAAGGAGGAGGTGGTGTTGGAGGAGGAGGGATTACTTTGGCCTTGCCGAAAAAGGGGAACGAGGAAGCGAATGGGGAGAAAGGGAAGCTGAGTGTGAACAAGGGGAAGAGGGGTTCGAACGAGGAAGTGAAAGTAGAAGGAAAGGAAGGGGATTTGAAGAAGAAAAGGCAGGGTTTGGATGGGGAGGCTGACGAGGGAGTGGCGGGGAATGTGAAGAAGGGGAAGAGGGGTTTGAGTGAGGAAGTTAATGGAGAAGGGAAGGGAAAGGGTGTAAAAAGGGAGAAGCGGGCCGCTGATGAGGAGATGAGTGGACAAGGAGAAGAGGTGAATGTGATTGTGAAGAAGCAAAGGAGGTTGGTGAATGATGAAATTAATGGAGGAGGGATGGAGTTGAGTGTGAAGAAGCGAAATGCGGTGGCAAATGAGGAACTGGATAGAGAAGAGGCGGGGAGTGAGGATTTTTGGGATAAGTATCCGTATTTGCGCTTAGCATTGGACGGTGAAATTTTGCCTGAGTATTTGAAGGAGAGAACAATTTTGGCGCTGGGGATGGTTGGAGAGGAAAAGTTGGTGGAGTTGGAAAGAGAATGGAGGAGTTTGATGAAAGCAAAGTTGGAGTTTATCGTGATGCAAAAGGACTTGATTGCAAAACAAATCAAGTTGAGTTTGGAGGCTATGAACTCTCAGGACTCTTAGGGTGATTTTTGTTAAGAAAGGAGAACAAATTTTGGGTGGTACCAAGTTTTGGTTGGGGATTTTGAAAAGGTTTTTGTTTTTTGTTTCTTTGGGCTATATGTGACGGGTTAGCTGGAGATACAGATTGGTCCTTAGCAGGCATCATGTTTTTCTGGTTCAGTTGCACGGAACTATGGTTTTTAAAATCGAATCAGGTTTTGCTCTATTTTCTGGTGGATATCAACATATCCATTGTCTGTCAGCTTGTGTTGATTTAAATCTAATCAGTTTTTGCTCTATATTTGGTGATATCAATATACCTATTGTCTTTCAGCTTGTGTTGAATTCCTTGCAATCTATTATTTTTCTGAGAACGTGTTCAGTCATAAGGAAAGGAACTGGTATGCCTTTGGCAAAAGATGAAACTTTTAGGCAAGAACCTTGATATTCTAGACCCCAGATAACAGTTCAACTGAATTGTAATCCCACTTGCATTTTAAGCCTGATTTATGGCTGTCCTGTACATGTATCTTTGAAACTGTGTTTGGGAAGAAAGAAACAGGTGAGATTGCAATTCTTTGTGACTCTGAGACTTGAGAGTAACAGTTTTTGCTTTCTCCCTGTGCTTTTGAGTTTCAGAGAATTCATGTGCTTTTGAGTTTAAGAGAATTCAGGGGTGGAGCAATGTTTTTTTTCAAGTTTTTTTTTTCCCCATAAATGTGTTAAAATAATATATTTTTTATTTTTTAAATTTATTTTTAATATCAACATATCAAAAATTTAAAATAATATAAAAATATAAAAAAATTAAAATTAAAATAAAAAAATTAAAATTTTATATAACTATATTTGTAACACATTTCCAAACAGAATTGAAAGACCCAGCGGTTTAAACGTCTTCCTCTGTATGATTCTAGGGTGTTTTCGAAATAAAAATGGAGTAAAATTAGGATTGGTGGCCAGAAATAAATTAGGTTTGGTGGCCGAAACGGACAATCATGGTTGTCTTAGAATCTGTTCTTAACTTAAAAAAAATATTAATTAGTTTTTTTTAATGTTTTTTTATGATTTTAATTTGTCGATATTAAAAAAAAATTAAAAAAAAAAAAAACACGTTGTGTGCACCCACTTAGAACAATAAGCATGGGCTTGCGCGGGTCTCGATCCAACTCCCTTTCATTTATTTTTTTAACCTTACCCCAGCGGCAGCATGCATGCATTGTTCTGGCAAGAACCATGCGATGTCATTAGTGATTTTATCTGAACAGGTTCAGGGGAAGTAAATTTGGGCCTTAGGCCTAATCTGTTTATGCTGCAGGATTTTCCATGGGGCGAAGGCTTGAGGAATTCATATTTGTAGTCACAATATAGAGGCATGAGACCAATGAAGATAACAAGGGTGAGGGTGAGGGTGGTTGGAGAGGAATAGTTAGTGGAGCTGAAAAGGAGTGGAAAAAGCTGAGATCATCCATGAAAAAAAGAAGAAATTGATCTCAATTCATAACTGAATAGGTTGGTTTCGGATGTTTCCCAAGTCCTGGGATTCTTGGAGAACAAATTTTGGGACTTCGAAAATGTGTTTTGGTTTGTTTCTTTAACAACCATGGTTTTCCTTGCTCAGTTTCTGGGATGGAACTCGTACAGAAAGATTTCCCATTGGTGAAGGTTAAGCAGAGTACAGTCTCATGGCTTTCAGCGACAAAATAGACATTTGCCAAGGATCACACACACACAGAGAATTCAGCTATGCCTATGCCCACAAGCAAAAAGAAGAATATTTACTACAGAACTTCCAAACCTAAATCTCAAGTATACACACAGAAAAACAGATCTAGGCACATATTTATAGAGAATATATGTCTTATGAGTTTTTCATTGCTAGACCAAACCAATCCTAAATTCATGAGAATTTGATTATACATCCTTAATTAGGATTAAAGTTCATGTCACATCACAACAATATCAATTGGTAAGACCGATCTCTCTGCTTAGCATTTGAGAACTCTTATTTCTATCCCTCAGCTTCCAGCAAAATAGACCCAAGCCAATCTGTTAAGAGAGTTGTAGAAGTTTGGTCGCACTCATGGATTTTGGCTTGAGCTCCCAAAATAGTCTATTTCTCGGTGTCCATGCTAAGAATTTTATTCTCAGGATTTTCACGTTCAAACATCCTATCTACATGTAGCAAATCTATTCTGTAGCAAACATTTGCATCTTTGATAAGCTCTGAATGACAAAATGTAGTTCTTTGACTTGAACAAGCGATTTTTCTCCATTTACAAATTCATGAGGATCGCAGCCTACCTCGATTATACAACTTCCAGCTTGCTTCTTCAATTCTCTGTCCTCCATCAGTCTACGTGCTTTCAGTGCATCCTCCCACATTCCTGCATCTGCATACGTGTTTGACTAAAGAACATAGACCCCTGAGCCATCAGCTTCCAGTTCCACAAATCTCTCTACAGCGGTTTCTGCAAGAGACACATTTCGATGGATTTGACATGCCAGAAGAAGTGATCCCCAGAGCGTTGAACTGGCTTTGATGGGCATAGCATCTAAAGTTCCTAAAGCTTTATCTAGTTGCCCTGCCTGGCTAAATTTGGAAGTCAAAATTTAAGCATGTGATAAACGAAACTTGCTTGTTGATAAAATTGTTGTTTTATTTTTGTATACTGAGCCCGTTATCCTGGTGAACTGCTACTGAGCATTATCTTTGTTGGCTAATTTAACGTGTTTTGTTCTCTCAGTCGAACTTCTTGCCATCGCTAATTAAATTTAAATTATTTTTCTTAAGAAAGAAAGGGGATGGGATTTTTCTGTATCCCTATATTCATTGAATTATATATTAGATTTCTTTTTAATTACATCCCAATGATTCAAAGTTTCTAAGATTAAAATTTAATTAAAGGACCAGTTATCCTTTCCATATCCCATTGGACTCGCAGTCCACCTGCACAACATTCTCAATTAATTTCTGGAGAGATTCATATATTTAGAAGATTTTTTTTTTTAATTAGAAACACCTGATTAACCCAATTATAATCAGCTAATTTCTATTAATCAAACAAGCTAGCAACGTTTGCATTCTGTGAGCAGCGTTGCTAGCTCTTCCTATACCCTGTGTTTGTTCAAATCCTGTGTCTGTTCAATTAAATTCGCAGACATATATAGAGTGTTATTCCTTGTTCTTTGGTGCTCTAGAAAGATGGTAACGTGTAAGAGAAGAACTTGCAATGGCTTTTTTAAGAATCTATGGTTTCTCACCTACTCTGCATATCGTTTCTTATCTGGTGGCAACTTGCAAGTAGTAACAATTCATCTTATTGGAGAAACTGTGCGCATCAAAGTTATGATTTGGTTTATGACACTCTCTTACAATTTATTTGATGTCTATAAGCATCTCGTAGTATCCATGCATTTCACATCATAATTATTAAATCTCGTCCTCGGCCAGCTAATCTGGTAAACTTATGATCTATAGCCTGAGTTTTAATTAAAACATGTTTTGACATCTACATGATCAACTCAGTTAACCTAGTGGATTGATGCGATAAACTCACATCTCGTAACTTGATTTAGATTGGGTTTTAATTCAAATTTATTTTGACATTCATCTCATTAATTTCCACAGTATACTTGACCTAGCTGAACCAGTATCAAACTTGACAGGATGAAAATCAAGGTTTTTCTAAAAGATTCTGAAACCATATTATTTTAGATATAAATGATAGGCTTGAGTGTACCCAATTACCTATAAATTAATCGAACGTATCAATAACAAGATAAATTTTCAAGCAAAATCCTGAATCAAGTCTGACGAACAGGATTTTAACGTTCATTCTCACCAGAAACTGCACAATTATTGATCTTCAAAGATCCTGCTCGTCTTTCGAAGATTTGTCCACAAACGACACAAGATGATGTGGAATATGAATAGGCACCGTACTCCCTAATCAGCCCATGTCTTCATCTGTAAAATTCAGAGGATTCTGTTCAGATCTGTATATTATTCATGCTTTACAACTGGTATATAATACAAGGAAATGAGACACGATCCAATAATAAAACCTAAACAGTTGCTAACCGAGAATAATTCCTGAACATAAGTTTCTAATAACTGGACAATAAGTTATATATGGAATGTGCAGATATATGTGTAGATATGACGTTGATATCATCACTTGCCAATTAATCCCATGTGACTAATCTTTCATGTATATTTTCAAATCTTTTAGATAGGTATCAGCTAGAATTTAGATATCTTTTAACCCCTCCAACATCGTGCCTGTCTCTTGTATCTATCTCTAAGGAGTCTGTTTCCCTCCAACAATTATTGGTCTATCACAAATCAGCTTCATTACTCCTTACATGTTAATCTGTCGTCCTAAAATTGATTGGTTTTAACATCATTGATATATGCTACATGTCCACTGCTTGGTGTTATGGTAAAACTACCACCTAGGATGTTTAATTTGCTGATGCCAGCAATCACTAAATAATTAAGCAGATAATTGGGATAGATTAACTACTTAGATTTTGAGTTTATTTTTTTTATTATTACAAGTTTGAGAATTCTTATAATCACTAAAAACTTACATAATTATTAACTTTAAAATTCATAAAATTAATTAAAAAAAATCATATTAATGAGAAAAATAATAATTTAATAGACATGTTTTTTGTTTATTAATACGATCAAATTTGTATATTGTAGTACATAAATCCACCATTTTATGCAATTAAAGCTCACACTGTTCAAGATTTTTCTTGTATTTTCTATCTCACAAAATACACTTCCATTAATTGCGGTGTTTTAAAGTATATATTATGACTTGGGTATCATGAGATGGCATCAACGTGTGCTGCCATATGTTTATAAAATAAATATATTTGATAGAATTATAATTATGAATCAATGTTAGATAAATAATAAAAATTAAAAATATGATGGAGCAAATATTTCATGATGGAAAAAAAAGTTGTGTTGACAATAAAAAAAAACTTAGAAATTAAATAAAATGATTTGTAGCAATCCACATTGTTATGTGAGGAAAGATACAGTGTTGTCGCTACATAACTTAACTTTTCTGTTAATAAAAAACAAAAAAAAAATATAAAGTTAAATTCTCTACCAGCTTAGTATTAAAAAAAACCAACAAAGATAATTTTGGAAGGAAAAAAACCATGAGAAAAAATATTGTAGCAATTGACAATGTTTTGTGAGGAAAACTACAGTGTTTTTCCTGATAAAATAAAATAAAAAACCATATAGAAAAATATTTTAACAATTTATAGTATTTTGTGAGAAAAACTACAATATTTTTCCCATATGATTTAGCTTTATTATAATTATAATTCTTAACCAACTCAATATTAAAAAAAAAATTCATAAAGATAATTTTGAAAAAAAAATCATAAAAAAATCATATGAAAAACACTACAACAATTCACAGTGTTTTAAAGAAAAACATTACAGAGTTAAATCCTTAATCAACTCAATATTAAAAAAATCAGATCAACAGCGATAATTTTAGAAAAAAATAACACAAAAAAAGAAGAAAAAACCATGTTGGAAATAATGTATTAATTCATTGTGTTTTGTGATATAAGCTACAGTGCTTCCCCACATGATTTTGTCTTATTTGTAATAACTTGTAATTGTAATTCTCAATCAACTCAATATTAAAAAAAATAAAATTAAAAAAGATAATTTTTTTGAAAAATCATAAGAAAAAAACCATGTAGAGAAACACTAGAGCAATCCACAACGTTTTGTGAGGAAAGTTACAATACTTTCCCTATATGCTTATATTTTATTACAAAGTTAAATTCTAACCAACTCAATATTAAAAAAATAAAATTAACAAAGATAATTTAAAAAAATATTATAAAAAAAAGAAAACACAAGAAAATAAAAAAAAAAACCATATGAGGAAAAATTATATCAATCTGTAGTGTTTTGTAAGGAAAAACTTGTATTTACTTATAATTGCGATACTTATCTAGATCAATATATAAAAGATAAAATTGATAAAGATATTTTAAAAAAAAACATAACAAAATATAAAAAACCATGTGGGGAAAAACACTATAGCAATCCACAGTAATTTATGAGAAAAGTTACAGTGTTTTCCTCACATGTTGTAACTGTAATTTTTAACCAGCTCAATATTAAAAAATAAAATTGAAAAGGATAATTTCAAAGAAAATTATAAAAAAACAAAAACAAAAAAAAATATACGGAGAAACATTATAGCAATCAACAATGTTTAAAGAAACAATATAAAACTAAATTCTCAATTAGCTTAATATAAAAAAATAAAATCGACAAATATAGTTTTACAAAATAAAAAATAAAATACAAAAACTATATAGGAAACCACCATGGTAATTCACAATATTTTGAAGGAAAAAAATTACAAAATAAAAATTTTAATCAGCTCAATATTTAAAAAGTAAAACCAACAAATATAAGTTTAGAAAAAAAAAAGAAAAAAGAAAAAAGAAAAAAGAGGAAAGTTGGAAAAAATAGAAGGAAAGTAATTTTGGAAAAACAAAAAAGGAAAAAAAAAAGAAAAAAGAAGAAGAGAAAAATAGGAAAAAAAAAAAGAGGAATGCAATAATATCGCCACATAATGTAGTTTCTTTGTTAATATATTACTTGGATTATTGGCATATGATATGCATTGCATCATATTAATATATTTTAATATAAAAATACTTAGGTAATGCTAATATTTTTTTAGCATATTATTTTATAAATTGTATGAGCTTTGATTTGATATGACTTGATCAACTTTACGAGTTCAAAAATAACTTAGATGATATATAAAAATATAGTTTTATTCAAAATAAATATTCAAGATGACATATTTTTTTTACAAATATTGAGATGATAATATATATATATATATATATATATATATATTGAATCAATTTAGGTCAACTAGGGTTTATCTGTCAATCTTTATACCGGATCATGAGATTATGATAACCCCATAGAAAGAAAATCAAAACATACTATAAAGCTCAATTTTCGATAAACTCAATGTTGAATTATGAAAATAAAAAGAAAATCAATTTTAAAAAAATCAAACCCCTTATTTAGGTCTAATCTCCAATAAACCTCATGTTGAGAAAAATAATTGAAATTGAACAATTGATTAAAAACATATAAAAAACTCAAGTTAACTTGGATTAACCTATCAAACTCATAAGTCAAGTCGTAAGATAAGGATAATTTCATAAAAAGAAAATCAAATAAATCATGAGATCTAATTCTCAATTAATTCAATTTTAAAGGATAAAATTAAGATAAAATAGTCAATTAAAAAAAGTAGAAAGAATTTGAGTCAATGAAGTTAATAAGTCAAATTGACAATTCAGATAGTGAAATTGAGATAATTTTTTAAAAAAAATTAAAAACAACTCATGAAATTCAATCATTAATAAATTTAATGTTAAATAAAAAAAATACTATTTATAAATAATATTTTATTAGAAAGAGTACAATAAAATCAATTCTCTTTTAATTTTTTATTAATTTATAGAAGCATAATTAACATATAACACCTTTGCAAATTTTGCTACCTTCTATTGAATCATATGCCATAAACAATAAGGATAGCAATTAAAGGATTATTTTGATGGTAAAAAACATGTGTTCCTTCTTATTATTTATCTAGTGTAGGATTCTTTAAATTGTTAAGAAATACAATGTTTGATTGACATATAATTTAATCTAGGAATATAATTTAACATTAAATAAAAAAATAAAAAATAATGATATGATGTATTGTACCTAATTTTATAAATACATTTAAAATTACATAGAAAAAAAAAATATATCTAACATCTTATTTTTAAAAGAGAAAACTATTTGATTTAAGAAATCATCACTTAATATTATAGTTACTGAAAACCCTAATTGATCAATAAAGATTCTATAGTACATAATTATTTATACAAAAAAAAATACTATCATTCTTTAAGCATCATATTTAATACAAATTGTATTACTGATTTTGTTTTATATTACTACGGTTTGTTATATTTTATTTTTATGGTTTATTTATAATATTTTTAATTTTAGTATCAGTAAATATTTAATTATGAATAATTTCAACCTTACGTTGAAAAATATTACGAAATTACAAGCGGGTGAAGAAGAAAGACCTACCTAGTGTAGGCTATGTTTGTTTTTCGAAAAGTGATTTTAAGAAAACCACTTTTCAAACATTTCTATATTTGTTTGTCATTAAAAAATTTGATCAACGAAAAATACTTTCCTGTCAAATAAAAATTTACCTTGGTTTACAAAAAAGTGTTTTATTTTTATTTTAGGTGAAAAACACTTTCTAAAAGTTAGAAAAAATTTAAAATGTCATATTATTTGCTGATTATATCAAATTCGATCCTCAAACTATATATATATATATTGTTTAAAATATTTTTTTTCAATGTCATCCCTTATAATTTAATTTTTATATTAATTTTGATTTTTATTTTTATAATTTTTTATTTGCTTTTTTATTATTATTTTTAATTAAAATTTTTTATCTATCAAATTTGATACTCATTCTTTTAATTGTTACTTATTTTATTTGAAATAATTTATGAAATGTTAATTATTATTATTATAATTTCTTCATCTTTTAATTTTTTAATTTTTTAGATTTGATCTCTATTATTTTGATTATTATTATTTTATTTGAGATAATTTTAAAAATTATATTTTTTTCAATTTTATTCTCATTCAACTTTTTAATTTGTAAGATTTATTTCTTATTATTTTATTAAACTTGAAAAAAATAAAATATTAATAAATCATTTTCTAACTCAATTTCAATAACATAACTAAACACTAAAAAATATTTTTTAACTTTATTTTTTATTACACTATCAAATATAATAAAATAATTCACTTTTTAAAAATTTATTTAAATCCTTGAAAATTAAAAAAAAAAAAAAAAAAACAGTACCGTAGTTAGTGCTGAGGGCGATGGTTGGGCGGTGGTGGGGACCGGTTAAACAACGCTTCTTTATTTCCTTCTGTTTCTGTTTTTTTACCTAATAGGTCGTTGTTCTCGGGCTCTCTTCTATGTTTTTGCTCTCTGTGTTTTTCGTCTCCCTGACTCTCTCTGTGTTTTTGTTCTGTCTCTTTTTTTTTGGTTTTTGTGTTTTGGTTGGTTCATTAATCTGTTGTTTGGGGGGTAACAAATATTCCTTTAATAGAGTTCTCAAAGAAAGCCCAGAAGTCTGTTTCTTTTTTGTTTCGTGTTCTCCTGAGTTCTTTATTTTTTCTTTGATTTTATAGGCCAAGCCCGTAGTCTTCTCCATGAAATTAGTCCCTTAGCTCTTAGGATGACGATCTCGTGGATGAAGATGACCGTGGGTCATGCTTGACCTGAGTTTGGAGGGATGAGGACTCCAACAGTCCTGCAATTGTTGGATTATATCGTGTTTCTCATACCAAGTAGTTTCTCCACTTTCTTGATCTCGAGATCATATCGGCTTCTCCAATGGAATTTGCAGTGTTTGCCCTTTCTCCCTCGAGTCTAGTACTCCCCTCACATTTTCCTAAAACGACCATACTTTCACGGAGCCATATTTCAGCGAGAAACAAGCTATTCCAATCATCAAGATTACCCTCTCTCAAGAATGCTTCCATATTTAAGATATTGAGCATGAACAATGAGGAACGAAGATCAGCTAATTATCATCCTAGCGTCTGGGAACTCCAACTCATTGAGTCCTTAAGCACTCCCTATTCAGTGAGTAATATTAACTCGTTAACAAGTACTTATTTCGCTTTCACATTTCCCCACTAACTTCTGGCTTGTGGGGTTTTCAGTATGAGCTTCACGCCAATCGATTGGAGGAGCTGAAGCAAGAAGCTAAAAGAGCACTCGTGTCCACCAATGAACCCCGTGCCAAATTAAAGCTGATTGATTCAATTCAACGGCTGGGAGTTGCTTATCATTTCGAAAGAGAGATTGAAGAAGCTATGAAGCTTACTGAACTAGATGTTAGTGGGGATCTTCAAACAACTTCATTGCACTTTCGGCTTCTAAGGCAGCATGCCTTTTCAGTGAGCACAGGTGATATTATTCTCACAAGTCTAGATGCAATTAATTTTATTTATTCTAATTACTAGTTGTTGTGCCCCGCTTATTCGAACTTAAAATAGCAATTTCAATATTATTAAAACCTCGATGTCCAAATTAGAAAGATTATTTAATGTTCACTAAGTTTCAGGTTTATAATGTAGAATATTCTACTCATTTATTTTTTATTTATTTTTTAATAATGATTGAGTCATTTGTTATCGAAAAACATGTTCTTTCATCACCTAATTATATAAAAACATATTATATTATAATTTTGTGTAAATGGAATTAACAATTGTAGCTATAACGTAGTATCGAAAAAGATAGCGAATGTCCCGACTGCTTATGGAGCCTTGGACCAATCCTCATGAACTAATTATATAAAATATATTATAATTTTAACATATATGGTTAAAATATCACATCAAAAAAAGAATGAGCGTTCCCACTCCTTATAAAGCCTCGCAATTCTTGTCATGCAAGGCATCTCTTAAGACGAGCCATGCTCCAAATGCTTATAAAACCTTTGACAAGCCTCCTGTACCTTTTGAGATTAGTTAGGTTTTGTGTGGGATTGGGCCTCGAAACCTTTTCTAGACTTAGCCCATTTGTCTCATCTAGACTTATTTATCCCCTCTCTTAAATTCAACATATATTTTTCAGAAAATAATCTTCTTAAATTTCCAGCTACAAGTGTAGCTGAGGTAACATTATGGGGGTTTGGGTTTTTAAAATGATATACGGCTTCCGGATCATTTGCTTTTGTATGAGTCTTGTCCTTAGCTCTCCTAACTAAATCCACCGATACTCCCCTGGATGGGCTCTTCCCCCTTTGAATTTCCTCAGACTCGGTATTTTGGGCATGGAACTTATCTCCAGAATCTATCAAGCTGTCCATCTAGCTGTCTTTTTGCCGTGTATTTGCCTTTCAAACTCTTGTTCCTCATCAAGAGAGCATTTTGATTATTCATCAACCCCTCTCCCACTTGAATTCCCTCCATCTCGGAATTTCCTATATCTATAATGCTTGTTTCCATATTATTCCCATGCAGCACATCAAACCGTGATCCCCTCTCCTGGTTTTTCTCTATTACCCCTCTTGAGGTCCCTGTGTCCGTGATGTTTGGTTGTGATCTTCTCCCCTAATTTGTTGGCATATTTTACTCCTTAGACAATGTTAACTTTCCGTATCTTCTCGCCGTCTTCCTGGTGACCATCCACCGACCATACTGATCTGTAATCTCTGATCTCCGGTGCCTTAACATCAATGCCAACACCACAGTTGGTAACTGTTTCCCTCAGACCTCGATCCATTGCAGTGTCATCATGACTGGTCTCCCCATGCTTTTCACCATAAGGACAATTTTCTTTTTGATGCCCATATTGACCTCAACCAGAAGCATATAAGATGCAACCCCTCATAGGTTATCCGTAGAATATGTCGTTTTAATTTAGGGTCTGTTTCTTTGTTTCTTTCTGTATTCCAGAAGCGTTTTTATAAAGATTTAATTTTTTTTATTAATTTTAAATTAATATATTTTTAGTGTTTTTAAATTATTTGGATGTATTAATATTAAAAATAATTTTTAAAAAATAAAAAAATATTATTAATATATATTTTAATATAAAAAATAATAACAACCACACCTCTAAATATACTGTTGAACTTTGATAACAATGACTTTGTAAGATCAACTTGTACACATATGCGTACATTGTCCTCGGGTGCCAATAGCAGTGGTTCTGTCAATCTTAAACGTTCTCCCGATGTAGTTTCCTATCATCCAAGGCACCCCATAATCATAATATTCCATTGCGAGATCAGGCAATCTCACCCAAACCACTACTCTGTCAATCGTGGCTTCAAATGGATCAAAATTTGGATGCCACAGTCTCATCGTGAGATAATGACCTGTAATCATCCACGGTCCTTCAAAAGGACAAAATCTCTATCATCTGAATTTGAAGATTTTGTCAGAAAAAAGTCATTACCCAAATCGACGTACTAAATCCCCCTGAATCTTCCATAATATTGTAGTCGTTGCAATGAGATACGTATAACCTACTCCTACTCGTCTACCCATAACTTTCACAACGATTTTTTGATGCCTAGGTGCCCTTATACGGTCCCCCCCCCCCCCCCCCTTCCGTGCTTG